AAAAAAAATAGTGCATTAATAATAATAATAATAATAATAATAAAGTTTATTTTATATATATTTATTATGTCTGTATTTTAAATTTTTATTTAAATGTAATAGTTTTTAAGGGAAAAAAGGAAAACTGCGTGTGTGTGTGTGTGTCGATTAAATTTATTTTTTTGCATTTTTATTATTAATATTATATATAAAATTTTCTATTAATAATAAAAAAAATGTAATAAAAATGCAAATAAAATAAAATAAAAAAACTCCTTCGGTGTGTTGATAAGTAACTTGCATTTCTTTATCAATAGCTCCAAATATTTTTTCTCTATTTAACCATTTACGTTTTAATCTTGATATAACACCCGTTTCCTGATATTTTATCATTCTGATAATCAATAATAATAATAATAATAATAATACAATAATTATAATTTAATGTGTAAAATTTAAGGGTGTACATAATAATAATAATAATATTAACTTATTGTGAAATAACATTTTATCGTATTTATTAACGTTTTCGTTAATTAGTAGAAAAATTTGTGCGTAAAAATATTTTTTCGGTATCGTCGTCATTTTACAGATTTTATTTTTTTTCAAATGTTTTTTCATAACCGGTGGAGTTTCCATGAATGCTACATATGGCGCACAAATATTCAATTCTGTCGTTTTTTCATTTGTCGGACACGGTTTTCTATTTATTATCTTCGTCCAAACGTTCGGTTCATCCCTCGACGGCATTTTCGATAATAAACCCTGTAATGACGAGAAATTTAATTATCGCCCCCCTCTATGACGTAATCAATGACAAAATGACGTCACCATTAATTTTAAATATGGATAAGTTTGAGTTCTTATACACAAAGAATATTTTTGTCCGGTTACTGGAATTTCTTCTAGTGAGAGAAAAGGTAAAAATCTTTCACCAACCGTAAGCTGTAAAAATATAAATTATTATTATTAACATTGGGGAGTGTCATCCATTTAGGGGGGGGAGGGGGGGTACCAACCTGAGTAATTAAACGTGCAGAATATGAATTTGACATGATCAAACCGAAAAAAAGTATGAAAATCATTAATATTCTAACGGAAATCATTTCAATATCGAAACTTGTACCCTGTGACGTAAAAGACCCAATAATTGTTATTAAACAACGACTTAATGATGATTTTTCTTCTTTTCGAACGACATTAATTTCCTTTGATTTTCTCCAATTTTTCACATTTTTTAACTTATTCTCTGTCACGACAAAAATATTATTAATCATGGAGGAGGAGGAGGAGGAGGAGGAGGGAGTAGGAACCTATACAAACCGAATGATAATTTAAATATATTATTCGTTTCGTTTATTAAAAATCCTTTTTCATCCTTTTTAATTTTATATGAAAATTTAAGCATGGCGTGAAGTGTAATCATTAAAACTAAACTAATTATTATTGTGCTTAACCAAAGATCGTTTGACCAATTTTTAGTAAACGATACGGAATACGATGTACTTTTACCATCTTTTAAATATATTTCGAACCTGAAAAAACAAAAACCTATTAATTTATTGGGGGTGTTTGAAAAAAAAAAATGAACAAAAATAACCACCCACCATTCATCGGTAACGGGTATTGCAAAATAATCCGATTTATTCGATATGAAAAGTACGGGTTGTAATAAAACATCCCTTTTTTTTTTTTTAAAAATGTCTATACCATCTAACCAACCCTCTTCTGAATATTCTGATTTAAAACCTAATCCTTTTTCTAACGTCATCCATAATTCTCCTAATATTCCTTCTAAGTATTTAACCGTATTATTATTATACCTGATGACGTCATATAAGTGGCATCTACAAATAATATAAATGTTTTTACATAGTTTAAACATTTTTAATATATATTAACAATTTTATAATAAATAAATAAATAAATTCTTACAGAGTTTATTGATACTTTAAAAAGTTTTCCATTCATGTCGTCTGCTAGTTAATAACTAATTCAGAAAAAGAAAAAAATTTTTTTTTTTTTTTTATTCAATTAAATTTAACGAAAATGTCAATAACAACTGACTAACTAAAAAAAATTTTTTTTTTTTTTTTTTTTTTAATTGATTCCTAATTATTTATTTATTTATTAAAAATGAATAACGACAACAACAACGATAATAATAATAATAATTTGAATTTGTTATTATTATAAAGCATATGATTGTATATCGACATCGATTTGATTATTACGAAATATATCGAAATATTTATTTTGTATTTCTTCGATTTTTTTTTTAATTATTTTTATTTGTTTTTTATCAGTGTATTGAAGTTGAATCCAAAATAATAAAAATTTCAATTCTGAAACGTAAAAAATATTTCTTTTAGTAAAAATAATAATTTACACCTTAAGCACAATAATAATAATAATAATAAATTTTTTTACTGTAATTTCCATTTGTTAAATTAGAACAAAATATTTCAAGAGTTTCTATATTTTCGAGTATTCCAATAAATTCGAATTTTAATAAATTTGGAAATTCTTGTAATATTTTACATTTAATTATATAATCGAGAAGATCTCTGTGATGCCATAAATGAAGGCTCAAACATTCTATTTTTGTAAAAACAAAAGAAAATTATAAAAATTTTTTATTTATTTAAAAAAAAAAAACAAAAGGAAATTTACACACCCAAAGTATTCGAGTACCAATTTTTTAATTCTAATAATGTTACATCGATTTCCCATGGAACGTTAAATTTTAAATCGATACCTGATGATATGTAAACAGATGAAACAGGAATATCTTTCGATAGGAAAACAATTATGTTTTCATATTGAGGCATGTTAACTGACAACAACAACAAAAATTAAACCTATCCCTATCCTGGAACAACACTCGGGGGGCAGGGAGGGGGGGGGGAAACGTACGAAAGACAAATTTAACACGTAAATCAGGACAAATATCAACGATACGTTTCCAAACGTCATTTTTTATCTTCCATCCACCAATACCGTATCCCGGATTTGTTAGCAATGGTCTTTCTTCTTTCAAACATAATATTCTCAATTCTTTCAAACAACCACCTCTTATTGATTTCAAACTTAATATTCCATCTCCATATTCGTTAGCCAAATATGAATAATTAACAGATAAATGTGTTAAACGTGAAAATTTATATAAGACTTGCATGAAATGTATATTTGTAAAAAATTCTTCTGATTTTTTATTATAATTTTTTCCTAAAATTAACAACAACAACAACAAGAACAACAAAATCAAACTTATTACAATTGTAATAATCATGTTTGTTTGTTTATTATTATTATTATTATTACTATTCATTGGTAGTTCTTTTAGTAAAAATGGACATTCTCCATAATCAAACATTTTCCATATGTGTAATTCTTTTAAATAATCACCACAACTTCTGCTAATGGCACATAATAAAACAATTCCATCCATTTTTTTCAAACAAGCATTTTCAAAACATACTTTTTCTAAATATATTTGATTTCTGAAATTCATAACATTTAAATTTAAAGAAAATATTATATAAATAAATACAAAATTTTTATATTTTAATTTAAGAGATACCTGAAAAATTTACAAAGTAATTTAACAATTGTTGTTTTAGTCAAATAATCAAACCATTTCATATTATATATTTGATCCCAATAAAATATTTTTTCAACTTTTATCTTTTTAACATTTAATTTTTCAATATTTTTTTTAAATGTTGTACAAATTAATTTCCTATATGGATACTGTAAAAAAAATAAATAAATTTATATACAATAATTAATAAGAGAGAAAATGTCTTCTGGTTCATTACCATCACAAGTTATGATTAAAATAATTTTTGTTTGAGGTTGTATGTTTGTTATGTGTCCAGTAGGAAATTGTTTTTTTTTTTTTCTTGGGTATGAAAGACTTACGGTTAGATAAACACTTGAACCTGTAGAGAAGAACCTTGGACAGATCATCTCACCTCAGGGATGGCTGATGCCGTGTACAACTGGGAATGATATCTACCATACCTACTTCTTAAATTTAAATTTGGATGTATAGTTGGAAAATAATAACATTCATTTAAATTTTTAAATAGAGGTGAATGCCTTCTACTATTTTTAGGTCCCCAATATTTTGTACTGTAAATAAAAATTTAACAAATTAGGATGCACCATCATCATCATCATCATCATCATCACTTTTCAATAATTATTTTCAAATACTTACGAATCTGACCAATTATTTTTTCGTATGCTTTGAAATATTGAATGTTTGATATCGTATGGTTTCTTTTCTTTACCATTCAAATCAGATGTATCCACGTTTTTATCTAATTTAATTACACCGCATAATTTTGCATTTTCATCGTAATAATCTTTCAGCCATCTTTCATAATCAGAATCTTTCATTGATGAAATGGATGATTTGGATTCGATAAAATTTTCCGGATATCTTGGTGCGTTTCTCCATCTCGGATATAAATAATCATCCAAATGATGAGGACGATGATGATCATCATCATCATCTACTTCTTCTTCTGGACAATAATAATTTATATATATGGTTAATCTATCTTCATCATCATCATCATCAACATTATCATCATCTTCTTGAGACTCGTCAATTCTATTAATGTTAAAATATATATTGAAAGTGTTTCTTTTTTTTTTTTAAATGAGTTTTTTGTCTATTTACTTACTCTTTTACATCGGTAGTACTTAATATATTTTCTTTTGAATTACTCATTGTCTTCCTTGAAAATGTCTCACCTTTAATAAATTATATTAAATAAATAATTTTAGTTTTTTCACAAACAAAAAAAAAAAGAAAAAAGAAAAATGTATATGTTATATTTTCGAAATTTATTTATTGCGGAAGTTTTATGCAATGAACACCATTTTTTTTTTTTTTGAAATTTGTATTAGAATAATTAATATTTGAACACTTTTTTAAAGTATTATTTTTAATATTTATAAAAAATATTAACCGTTAATTTGTAATAAAAATATCACATTAAATTAAATTAGAAAAGTTTATGCTTTTTATATTACGGATAAGTACGAAATAAAACATTTTAATTAATAGCGTGTAATGTAAATAATTAATTACCAAAAATGAAGACGTTTATTACAATTTAAAACATTTAAAATGTCACCATAAAAAAAATTTGGTGAAAAAAATCTTAACGGTCATCGGCCATAATTTTTTTTTTTTAAAAATTTAATTTGTCAAAAGGCCACGAGGATGCGCTCATCCAAAACAATCTCACGTCAAATGAATTTGTGAGTTTTTCAAGTGCGGTGTTGAAATTAAAAAAAATTTTTTTTTTTTTTTTAATTTTTTTTTTCCTGTTTTTTTTAACTTAAATGATTATTAATTGTTTTTGACAAATAGAAATCTTTCGACAATATCTAAATTTTTAATTTAGATTGTTGATTTTCTATTATTTAATCATTTATAATTTTTTTTTTATAGGTAAGAATAACATGAATCTTAATAAACTTTTAAAAATAAATTTGCCGGTTCTTAAAACTAAATTATAAAGTTTTAACATTTTATTATTATTATTATTATTATTATTATTATTATTATTATTATTTATAATTTAACGTTTTTTTTAATTATATAAACGTTTTTTTAAATAATCATTAACAATATTCCTGACAATTCTAATTTTTTTAAAGTTTTTCTACAAAAAAAAAAAAACTTATTTAAATTTATTATTTATTTATTATTAACTTTAATAATTATTATTTCAGTTACATTGGATTATGTAATATTAAAAAAATTATGTTAATAAACAATATAATTTAAAATATTATTGATGTGATTTTTAGGAATGGAGGGAAATGATAATAGTAACAGCAAACAATATTCGTTGAGATGGGAAAAACATGCATTTAATTTAGCATCTGAAGCAGGTTGCTTTTTCGAAGATGAATCTTTTTTAGATTGTACACTTTCTGCAGAAGGACAATGTATTGATGCACATAAAATAATATTATCAGCATCAAGCTCTTATTTGTCTGTAAGTTTTCATTATCATTATCATTACTTTTTTTTCTTAGTGTTCAATGTCATTCGAATCGAATAATTTTTTTTTTTCGAACAAACACACATAGTTTTACAAACGAATATATTTTAAGTATTTTGAAAAGGAAAAAATTGATCACATTTATTTGGTTTGATGTAAATTAATTACATTTAGGCAGCACAAATAATAATGCCTGAAGGGAATAAACAAGCTTCCAACTGGTTTTATATAAAAAAACTTGAAGAAGCCTATTAAATGTCAATGCCATTATTAAATATAATGATCATAATGAAATGATTTTAATTCAAAATGTGAATTATATATTGTTTTACAAACACAAACTCATCGCATAAAACAAAAATCATTATCCCAATAAATTACTATTTAAAAAATTTTATTAATAAGAATCTAATGAATAAAATTTTCCCTTAGGGTTGAATTGAAAAAATATATTTAAGTCGACAACCCGACAACTTGTATTTTTGCAAAAAAAAATTGATGATGATAATAATGATAATAAAATATTCATAATTCAAAATTCATTTTAGGATGTAACAAACACACACACAATTTTTTATATTATAAAATTCTTCATTTTTTTTGTAATTTAAAACTTGTGTGATGTATGTTGTTTGTTTGTTTCATCTTCTTACCTTCCTCCATGATTTAGTCGAACACCTTTGCTGACAGTTTATTATTTAATTTATTAATTAGAATTTAATCATAAATGAGAAGGATTAATAATAACATTTAAAAGGGATGATGATAAACGTTGGAAAAGAATAATGATGATAAAAAGAAAAATTATTATTATTTAATTATAACTTATACATAACAATAATGAATGAATGAATGGCTGAAAAAGTAAAAATAACGGTTATTAATTAATTAATGATAACAAATTAAATGAATATTATTTATTTATTGTTTGTTACACACACGACTTTGTCCGTTTGTTGTTGTTGTTGTTTGTTAAAAGTTTTCCCCAAATGGTAATTAAAAATAACGTATTAATTTAAATTATCATTATTAATAAGTAGTAGTCATCATTAATCATAATTTACGTCATACGATTACAATACACATATCTCTCTCTCTCTCTCTTTTGTCATTTCTATTTTGTCTCTCTCTCTCTCTCTCTCTTCATAAAATCAAACTCACGAAATAATAATAATAATAATAATGATGATGATAATAGTAGTAAGGAGAATGGAGTGAAATCAAAATTATTAGAGTGATCCCTTGTTATATTTAAATTGAAATTAACTCGTCCCAAGAAAAGAGAAGAAGAAGAAGAAGTTAATCAGGTTCACAATTTCAGGAGGGACTGGTTTGTTGGCTTCCAAAAACAGGTTTTACTACTCTTACCGCCGTAACAAATATCTCCCGGTACACTCTTTGCATCCGAAAAACAGGTTTTCCTGCACATTTTTTTTTTTTTTTTTTTTTTTTTGTAAACACTCTTGGACTTTAAAAAAAAAAAAGTCGTCGGAAAATTGATTAGGGGTCCTTAACCGCTAAAGGTTACAAGGGGATAAGGGATTCACCCAAAACAGGCACATATTCGATCGACACGTTAGAAAATGATGAGAGAGAGAGAGAGAGAGTGTGAAAATATTATTATTATTATTATTATTAATCATAACAATTCGAAAGTTTTTCACGTGATAACGATAATAATAATAATAATAATAACGTTTATAATAGTTTTCTCGTCACATTTTTTCCATTTTCATTTTCGTTTTTATGACCCCTCAATAAATAAATAAATAAATAGTTATTAATTAATGAAAGACCATAAATTCCACCTGTTGGTATCAATAAATAAATAAAGTTCACGATTATTAACAAAAAAAAAAAAAAAAATTTTTTTTCATTTTCATTTTCGAGTCGTTTCAGGCATTTTAAAAATCAGGATTTTATTTAAAATTATGTAAAGAAAACCTTCGAGCCTAAAACCTAAAAAAAAAAAAAAAATTGCACGGAGTCTATTGTGTCATCAATTAATTAAATTTTTTTACCTGGATTATTAATTATTATTATTATTATTATTTTCGTAAACTTTTACGATATTACGAATACATTAAATCTCTGGAAATGCCTGGATAATAAATTTTATTAAATCGTAAACGTTTAATAATAATAATAACGAACTCATTCGTAATTCGGATTTATACCGAAATATACCTTATTATTATTATTATCATTATTATTATTATTATTATTAATTTTTATTATTTTTTATGTAAACGAAGTTAAATATTAAAAACCCATGTTTTTTCCTCGATAATGTACCCAACGAACGAAAAAACTAGTTTTTCTGTTTTTTTTTTTTTTTTTTTTATTTTCGGGTCCTCATATTTATTCACAGGGAATTTAGGCTTATGCGTGTGCGTGTGTGTGTGTGTGTTTTCCAAAATAATAATAATAATAATAAAACGTATTCAAAAACTGGAGAAGAAAAAAGAAAAATTTTAATTATCGATAAAAAAAATCAAATTAAAACGACGACGAAAACAAATATGTCGGCCATTTTCAAAAAAAAAAAAAATTTTATTTTATATTTAATTATAATAATAATAATAATCAATTAACGGTTTTTAATTAAAGGTGCAAATCGATTTTTTTTTTTTTTGACGAAATAAGGAAAAAAAATTGTAAAAAGGTAACATATCAAGTTTGTTTTTTTAGAAGCAAAAATTCGACTCGTTTTTTATTTAAATATGTTCCCGGTCACATATTTTAAACTTATTATTATTATTATTATTATCATTATTATTATTATTATTTATTTGAAAAGGTCGTGTATATTCACACACGCACACACACGAATGTGCGTGGCTTATTAATAAATGCTACCGCATAACACACGATCGTTACGTTAAAGCACGAACTGTCATATACGTACACCTGTCATTACAACTACTAATACTACTATCATCATTATTATCACTATTATTATTATTATTACTCTCAACGCAAAACTTGTTTCCTTATTATTATTATTATTATTATATTGATCTTTTCAACGCTATTGAATTTTTATTTTTAAAATAATAATAATAATTCAGGGTAACGAAAATATTAATTTTTTCTATTTTTTTTTTTTTTTTTTTTTTGAAAATTTATATAAACGGTTATTTTTATCATTCGCGAATTTTGAAAAATAATCGAAAAGTATCGTTCGATATATCGATTAATCGTTGATTTAATCGAAAAGGTAATGTAGTCAAAAAATTCCAACGCAAACAAATATTTTTTTATAAAATGTGTTCAGAATGGAAAAAAAAAAACGAAAGTTTTTTTTTTTTTTTTTTTTTAAATAAGAAAAAAAACCGGTTGACAGTTGGTTCGAATATTATTTAAAACGAAAATTATAATAATAATAATGATGATGATGATGATAATAATCGATAATCGGCCACCCCAGATTGTTAAATCTCGTTTACAAACTATTTTATATATGTATGTATGTATATATGTATATAAAAATATTAATAAAAAATTATTATTATAATGTATGTCCGGTCAAACCGGAGTTCAACGTGTCTCTCTCTCTCTCTCTTTTTCTCTCTCTAGATGAAAACCAGTTTGAATTCTTTAAATGGTTTTTTTTTCTCTCTCTCTCTCTCTCTCTCTTGACTTAAGCTCATGTGCTGCCAAGCCCAACAACATGCCTGATATTTTAACCGAAAAAAAAACCAAAACACGTGTCACTAATATTATCATTATCATTATCATCATCATTATTATTATTATTATTATTATTATTATTATTATTATTATTATTATCAAACTGTTGGTAAATATTTAAATTAAATACTTTTCAAAAAAAAATCTCAAAACGAATTAAAAAAAAGGAAAAATTATCGATGTGTGTGTGTGTGTGTGTTAAATAAAATTATTTATTATTATTATTATTAGTGCGTTTGGTTTTGATTGTTTTGTTTGTTTGTTTGTTTGTTTGTTAATAATAGAATTTATTGAAAATAATGCCGGACAAACATCCAATATTAATATTTAACGACATAAAATTCGAACAATTGAAATCCCTCGTTGCATTTATTTACAATGGATCGGTTAACGTGTCGGAAAACAACATACACGGATTTTTAAACGCAGCACAATCATTATTGATAAAAGGATTGTCTGAAGGTATGTTGTTGTTTGTTATCATTGTTTTTGTATCTCAAAGCACGAGTTTAAATTATTGATTTTGTTAAGAAACAAAAGAAGAGAACAGGAGAAACGTGGAAAATTCAAAGAAAAATTCAAATTTTCTCACGGACGTTAATCGAACGAATCATTCGCGTAGAGGAAACGTAAAAAACCTTCAACAACAACATCATCATCATCATCATCATCATAATCATCCTCCACCACCGCCTCCTCTTCATTCTCCATCTCTGACCGGGACGAGAAAATCATCGGAATTTCCAATTCCGGACAATGGGAAAAATATAAAAAGGCAAAGAGGATGGATGACGAATAAAACGGATGGAATCGAATGCGAAGAAAGTTTATCCAAACTCCAGGAAATATCATTCACGAAATACATAAATCAAAATTTAAATTCTAAATCTCACATAAGAAACGATGTGTCTGAACATAAATGGAACGGACCCGCGGATGACAAATATAAATGTTCAGGTGAGAGAGAGAGAGAGAAACAGGAGGTTGATGGATATCGTGAAATTTTTTTTTTTTTTTTTTTAGAGAATTACGTGGTTAGAAGTTGGAAACACAACAGCATGGAAGACATAAACGGAAGACACAAACAAAATAAAAACAATATAATAAAAAGAATAAAAATAGAAAAGCAAATAGGAAATTCTGGTGCTGTTGGTGCTGGTGCTGTCGGGGCTGGTGCTGTTGGTGCTGGTGCTGTCGGGGCTGGTGCTGTTGGTGCCATCGTTAATCAAACGAACGATTACGATAACGTTTCCGATAATAAAAATCATTTAGATAAACCTAACGATGATAAAATAAAAAAAGAAATAGATCCAGGACAGATATTATTGGTAGAACCCAAACAAGAAATAACCGAAGAAGATGAAGAAGAAGAAGATGATGATGGAGAAGGAGAAGGAGAAGAAACGAACAATTGCGAAGATGGTTTTGGTCATGTAAACGTCACTGGTGACACGATCAATTCTGATACCGATTCAATTTACGATGGAAGACCCTTAAATAATTTCTACCAACAGCCTGTCGTCGATAGAGGTAAGAACTGTGATGATAATAAGGTTTAGGTCGGTGTTTTAAAAAGGAGGAATCCTTACAGGGATACCAGTACCTTTGCTCATGTGTCGAACGTCATTAAGCGAACCGGAAACGGTCGAACCTGATTGGATGTCACATATATCAAACAATCACGCACCATCCGAACCATCACCTCACACGAATTCATCATCGTCCGACGTTAAAGATCTTCAATGTAGGAGTTGCGCACAAGAACTTCCCTGTCCGACGTGTACGAAAAAATACAAAAGCAGATACGCTTTGAACAGGTACGACCGTAAAACAAACAAAAACGGAAACGGAAACGACGTCATCAACGTTTCTATTTTCTTTACAGGCACATACTTTACGAATGCGGAAAAGCGAGGAAAAGTTTTTCATGTGACGAATGCGGTAAGAAAGTAACGCGACAAGATACCCTACAAAAACACAAACTCATACATTTAGTACAACATTTGAAGAAAAAAGAAAACGAAACGGACGAAGAATCGTCAAAACCTAAAAAATCATGTTAGATTCAATTATTTGAATTTTCATTCATTCGATTTCCGTTAAATTCAAAATAAAAAATTTGGCGCCAATTTCTCGTTCGAAACGTATACATGTTCCTTCTTTTATATTATTTCATTATATATTATTTTTTGTTTCAAAAAAAGTTAAAAGTGCCATAGTAGTATCATCACACCGAAATGTGTTCTTCTTTTTACTAACTTTTGATAATCATTTTGTTTAATAAACAATAGTCATTACATAATGATAAATGTATTATTTGTATAATTTGATAATAAATATAAATTATTATTATTTATCAATGTTCCATATTAATTCTCATTCAGAATGGGGGGGGAGAAGTTCATTTAATACAAAACGGTTTGATCTTTTTTTGTCGATATTGATTCATATTGATTTCGATTAACAAAAATTGATTTTTGAATGGGAGTTTGTTTCAATGATTTTATCATTATTATTTCAATTTCTTGAAAATCTTTTAACCTCATCACATCTTTATCTTTTCTTAAAATAGTATTAGGTAATTTTCTTACTTTAATAATATCATTCGGTGTTATACATAACTCTTGGCAGCAAGTCTCGATTAATTTCAAATAAGTTAATTCCGATTTTGGTATGTCAATTTCTATGAAATCAGGTTCATCCGAATCAGCTATTCTTACTTTTAATACTATTTCTGAAACGAAAGAAAAAAAAAGGTTTTAGAGTTAATCTTATAAATTAAAAAAAAAAAGTTTGTGTTTAGTGAAATATGTTGTCGTTACCTCCTTCTACATTAACTTCCTTATTATTATTATTACTATTTGAAGTAGTTTTGGTAATAACTCCACTATTTGTTTGAAAATTTAATGGTGGATTTTCTATATAATTAGGAATAATGGGTAGCCTTTGCTGTTCTCTATTTGACGTTACACCTTCTAACAATAATTGTATTTCTTTATTTGAAGTCAATTGATATGGAGTTTCTCCTTTTTTTGTTAAAATTGATTTATCTGCACCGTACGTTAATAAAATATCAACGACGTTCAAATAATTTCTATGTGCGGCCCAGTGCAATGCTGACCTGTAAAATTATATCGATTTAAATAAAACTCAAAGTGAAAAGAATATTTTAACATGTTTTTAAATGAAATTTTAATTCCTTTACCATCCATTAATGTCATGTTGTGCATTTACATTAACACCGATTCGTATTAAATCGCGAACTTTATCTAAATTTCCAAAACAAGCTGCTTCTCTTAAATTTTCTTCCAGTAATTTTGTACTTTCTACCATTTTCCACACCATTCAGATTTACTACGATTAAGATTTTTATATAAAATAAAATTTTAAGTTGGCAGCAATTATTTTGCGTAAAAAAATCGTTTTTTTTTCAATTTCAATATAATTAAATTACATAAGATTTAAAATTTTTTTAAATAAAAAATATATATTTAAATAATTTAAAATGGTAAAAACTTTTAATACGTTAGAATTAATAAATAAAATTAATATAATTGTGAATATTAAACAAGATTATTTAATGTTAAAGCCAAAAAATTAGTGTAAATTAAGTAAAAAGATTGATTGATTGATTATAAGAGAAATCTCTTCTCTTTGGTAATTATAAACAATAAAATAATATTTTTTTTAAAAAAAATAAGAAAATATTATTAAGAAATATTTAAAATTGTTTTCAACTGTTCCATTGTGTCGCTGGGCGAGGTAACTTTGTGTCCAATAACTTTGGAACATGTAAATATTTCATAATCATTTTCACCCTTTTCGGTTTTATCACCGAAAAAATGTATCTCATCGAAATTATCGTTTGAAATGTGATTTAAACAATATGTTTTATCCCAACCT